TGGGGCGCTTCCCGGAGCACACTGAACTGTGTCGGCTGTCGGGGAAGTGGAACATGGGAGGAAGGATGGAGCGCGCGGGGACGGAAACCAGGAACTCAAGTACTGCCCAGCTCCGGTCCCACTGGCAAGTTGCGCGCGTGGGCATTTAAGCAGAGACCCCGTGGTACCAGCCTCTATTTTCTTCGTCCTCCGGTAGTCAGAGCAAAAGTCCTAACTGCCAGGACACTACCGTCCCTGGATGGAACTCGACCTCCATAATTACCAGAAATAACCTGATCTTGAGTTTTGGCCATAAGTACACAAAAATCAGGTTACAAGTAGCTCCTTACTTCATGCTTCTATTAAGGAAATGTGGATACAGCCTCCCCCTCACTCTTCAGAAAGTATAGGTTGATTATATGTATCAAATAAGGGAGATTGGGGTCTTGAACAATCCTTTAGTCAAAGCCTACAAGCACTACTTCACTATGTAAAGCAGTGCTAATTTGGGTGTGGAACAGGAGAGCTGAGTGCCCCCTTTGCCAGGACTGTGGGTTTCTGCAGTTTTCTAGACCTTTCCTCCCCACCTTTCTCCACCAGTGTCCCTGCCCAGGGACCCAGTGTTGTTGGAGTCCATAGCTACAAATGTGAGTAAGAAGGGGACTGCAGCTGGAAGAGACTGGCTGAGGACAATCGGGGGTGACAAGACTGCAGGCTGGAAGGGTCTGCTCAGCCCATCCTCCAGCCCACCCCAGCCATTTCCCCCCCTTGGGAGAGGGAGGAAAGCCCAGATCAGATGATGCTAAAATCACTTTGATCAACGGAGACTGAGTGACAGGGCCCATTTAGCTGTTTCCTTTTGAGGCCCAGGAGAGGTAGCTGGGAAAGATGTCTCTTTGGCCAAACCATTGGAGCCAAAAGGAAGAAAGGAACTCAAAGAAAGTGCAATAAGAATGGCAGGAAGAACCTAGGTGTGGACATGCTGGGCGAGAGGAGGTGAGGCAAACACGCCTGAGCAGTTTCCTCTATAGTCTTCCGGTCAGGTCCCAGGCTTCCTAAGGAATGGCTTTGACAGGACCCTGGGGCAAGCACTTCTGGGGAGGTCTCCTCTTCCATGAGGAGGCCACATTGTGAATTCAAAAGTGGGGACCTCCTCTCCCTGAGGGTCAGCTTGCCTCTTACAGAACCACTGTAGACCTCTGTGCCCAGCCCTGGCTGACTGTCCCCTCTGATTGCTGCCCCAGGAGGGGCCCTCTTCCTTGGCTTTAGCCTTGCCCAGCTGCCACAGGGTGGGAGCAGGGCAGGCCTGGGCCCATCAGTTGCTGCAGCTGCTGCACAGGCTCCCAAGCCCCTGGGCAAAGCCTGGGATGGGCCCAGACAGGCAGGGAGTGTGGCAGTGTGCTGGGGGAGAGGTGGGGCGGGCCCGTCGGGATCTGCTCTCCAAAGACAGGCCCTAGCCCTCACTCATGGGCCTGGAATTGGGGAGTGGAGGGGAGGAAGGACACACCCAGGAAAGGCGGGTACCAGGGCCAGGTGTATATGTCTTAGTGGGTTTTTTTGTGTGTGTGTAGGTGGGTGGGTGGGTTTTTTGGTGATACTGGGGATTGAACTCAGGGCCTTGACACTGAGCTACATTCCCTAACCCTTTTTTAGTTTTTATTTTGAGACAGGGTCTTGTGAAGTCACCAAGTTGCCTAGGCTGGGCTAGTTTCCTATCTCCCTGCCTCAGCTTCCCAGAGCACTAGGAATACGGTGTGTGGCACTACCACACCTGGCTGGGGGATGTTGAGGAAGAGCAGCTCAGGTCTGTCTCTCTGTGATGGATGGCACAGTGTCATTAGGAGTTTGCCACCTTTCCCCCCTTCCTATTCAACCTGGTCTTATCTCTGAATACAACCTACATTCTCAGTTGCCCCCACTGCCCTGCACAGGGCCCTCCTGAGCCAGAGCCTTCTGAAAACAGGCTCTAATGGCTTGAGTCTGGAACTTCTGATATACCTCTTGCAAGGTACAGAGGAGAGAAATCATTCTGTTACCTGAATAGCAGCTTGTTTTAGACAGGAAAACTGAAGCCCCAAGGAGGCTTCCTGAGCCTGGCCTGCTTTCTCTATGAAGTTATTTGTTATTTTTGTTTTGAGTCTGCTGTGAATCCCGTGACTGCCATCTTTGACCATTCATCCCACGATTGTCTGTTGAATGTTTTTCTCAACAGAGGCTAAGCATCTAGAGGCCAAGAGCCATAACTTTGACTTTCCCAGTTTTCTTCAGTATTGAGTACAGTGCTGTGCACAATTGTTGATTAATCGAGTGAACAAGAATGAATCTGCCCGGCCAAGTTCTTGCTGCATCCCATTACCAGTTATCCTCTCCTTTTAGGAGGGAGGTAGCGCATGCACGAGAAGCTGTGTCCTCTAGCATATCAGCAAAGAGCAGTCAGTGAAGCTTGGGGATCCCTGGATCTGAGCTGTGGGAGTGTGGTGTGAGCTGACAACCTCTTGTCTCCCTTCAGGCACCTGTATCAAGTGCAACAAAGGCATCTACGGGCAGAGCAATGCCTGCCAGGCCCTGGACAGCCTCTACCACACCCAGTGCTTTGTCTGCTGCTCCTGCGGTGAGTGTGGGCGGCCCCTCAGGCACTCTCTTAAGTGCCGTGGGGACCCTAAGGACAGCTTGGGCCTCCTCGGGCAGAGCAGCTGTCCACGTCCCCACTAAGCATGTGGAAGCCCACAGCTGCCCCACCTTCTCTCTGGCTTCCCGTCGCCCATTCTGTTCTGCCTCCCTGCCACTGCTCAGCCTCCTGCCTGTCTCCCCTCTTTCTTCTGCCTCCCTGCTCACCCAGCCTGGACTCCCGCCTGGCCCTCAGCCTCTCCTTGGTGGGGTTTGGTCTTGGGCAGCCAAGTTGCCTGGGGCGACAGTGAAAGGCTGGAATGTGGGAAGGGCGGGGTGTGGGCTGGGGGAGTGGGGAGCCATGGGGGGCCAGGAGGGGGGTTTTTCTCTTGGCTGGTCAGAGTTCAGCCACCTCGCTGGAGTGCAGGCCACCAGGCTGTGCCAAGCTGATGACATCACGCTCCAGGAATGCCCACTGCTGCTGTTAGCTCCGGAGGCCCTGGGGGGGTTGCGCCCAGCGGCCTTAACTCCCTCTCTTCCCTCCCTTACCTCTCATTACCCCTCCCTGCTGCTTACCCATTCTGATTCTTCTGCTAAACCTTTAATCTCCTATCTCTGCTTGTCTGACTCCAGCACTCAGCTTTTCTCACTTACCCAGCTTCTGCCTGGTTTTCTTTAGGTGCATTTGTCTCTGTCCTTTTTATAGGGCCTTCCAGGCTGCCTCTCCTTCCTCTTCTGTACCATGAGTTACTCAGTCAGCTTTTCTCAAACACGAGGCAGAGGTAGAAGTGGAGATTTTGTTGGGAAGAAGGCGAAAGCTGGGAAAAGTGCCCATTCTTCACCCTCTTTTCCTTCCTCCGTCATCCCTGATGGTTTAGACACTGTGTCGTAGTTCCTGGGAGTGGGTCAGGTGGGGAATGCTCCTGCCTTGTCTGCATGTAAAAAAGCCTGGGCTGCTGTGGACCAGGAGGCGCAGGTCCCTCCAAGCTTGAAGAGCAGCCTGATAGGAAAGAGGATGGCTGTGCTCCCAAACAAAACCTTCTGTCCCCAGCGGCTACTCCAATGCCCTGACCTCTGTAGAGTCTGTCCCTAGAAGGAGCACGACACGGCTGGGAGAGCAGGAGAGCTGTGCTGAGGCAGAGACCCCTGAGGTTAAAAGGTCCCAGAGGGCCAAGTCTGGGACAGTGTGATTCTCTGTGTGGATCGCAGAGCCAGCAGAGCACCTGGCGCAGAGCTCCTTACCAGGCACTCCCCAGGTGGGCCCCCGACAGGAAGATGCTGGGGGGACACAGGAGCTGGGGGGCAGTGTGCAAAGGAGAGGAGCCGGCTATAGTGACTCCAGAGCAAAGCGGAGTTGCATCAGACGTGACTTTGTGTGTGTGTGGGAGGGAGGAGACCAGCAGTCAGGAGGAGCAGCACTGGAGTCCAGGTTGAAATGTGCTGTGCACTGCCAGGGAGCAGTGGCACAGAGAAATCCTGGGCCTGGGCTCAGGATGGGTTCCAGCTCCTTCTCTACTTCCAGGGCGGACTTTGCGCTGCAAGGCTTTCTACAGTGTCAATGGCTCGGTGTACTGTGAGGAGGATTATCTGGTGAGTGAGGGCTGTGGGTCTGGGCTGCTTCCCACATGGGGACCCCTGGGGTTCCATCATCCTCCGCAGCTTAGTAACTCCTCCTCTTGTCTCTAGTTTTCAGGGTTTCAGGAGGCAGCTGAGAAATGCTGTGTCTGTGGTCACTTGATCTTGGAGAAGGTAAGGAAAGTGCCTTGAGCTGAGGCTGCAGCTTTTAGGCCTGAGGGGTGGAATCCGGGACTAACTGGATACTGAGAGAGGTCAGGGAGGAAACCTATCACCACATGAGTCACATTTTTGCCATTCCTTCCCAAAGCAGCTGTTTACAATGCCTTCCCTCTGCCTTTTGAGAGGATCCTGGGCTCCCTGTCCATCCCAGGCTTCTGGGATTTTGGCAGGCACAGCCAGTCCCTCAGCCAGAGCAAGGAGTGTGGGGTCCTAGGTCTTAATCCCTTTTCCACTACTGCTTGGGATCAGCTGGAACTGTTTTCTTCTCCATTTAAAGGAAGGATTGGGGCCAGGCATGTGGCTCATACCTGTAATCCAGTGTTTAGGAGGCTGAGGCAGGAGGATCTCAAACTCAAGGCCAGCCTGGGCTACATAGTGAGACTGTCTCAGAAAAGAAAAAAAAGGCTGGGCATGATAGCACACTTGTGATCCTAGCATTCTGGGAGTCTGTGTCAAGAGGATTGTAAGTTTGAGTCCAGTTTAGGCAACTTAGTGACTTAGACCCTGTCTCAAAATAAAAAGTAGCAAAGGGCTGCCGATGTAGGTTATTGTACAGACACTGGGTTCAGTCTCCAGTAATGAAAGAAATATAAATTTTAAAAATAAAAAAGAAAAGCCGGGCGTGGTGGCACACACCTGTAATCCCAGCACTCTGGAGGCTGAGGCATGAGGATCACTGTGAGTTCGAGACCAGCCTGGGCTACATAGTAAGTTCCAGGTCAGTCTCAACTACATAGTGAGACCCTGTCTCAAAAAACCAAAAAAACACAACACCATAAAAATAAAAAAGGTAAATTAAATTTGGTCAGTAAGTCTCAACCCTGGCGACATAGTGGGTCCTTTTTTTTTTTTTTTTTTT